TTAAGATTTGAAAAGAAAATTAGAAAGGAGCAAATAGCAAAAGAAAAGCAATAATGAAGATTGGGGCGACGGCGATGATGACGACCAAGAAAAAGTGGAATGAGAAGGAAAAAAAAAGACGGAGTAAAAGACAGAATATAATGGTAAAGAGGGAGAATGGGAGAAGAGGAAAGGGTGAAAGAAAGAATAAGAAAACATTGAGAAGAAAGAGACGAGTAAGTGGAAGAAAAGATGAAGAAAATAAGGCAAAGAAGAAGGCAAAGAAGAAGGCAAAGAAGAAGAAGAAAATAAAAAGTAGATAGAGTAGAAAATACGGAAAGCGAACATGTGAAAGAGTAAAGAAGAGAAAGAATAGAAAAAGGAAAAAAACGTGGAAGAAATGGAAAGAAGGAGATTAGAAAATTTCAGAAGAAAACGAAAGAAAAGAAGAAAAATAAGAAGGATAATAAACCAATCAAAACAACGAAGAAAAGGGAGAGCTGCAACAACAACAAAAAAGAAAAGAAGTATAACGAAGAAGAGCAAAGAAGAAAAAAGAACACATAAGAAAGAAAACAAAAGTAAAGAAGAAGAAAAATAAGCCTCAAAGAAGATACAGCAACAATAACAACAAACAAGGGCAAAGTATAGTGTTTGGGTTGTTAATGGGTTTACCCTTTTTGCCATGACATCAGCTGATTGGAGTGCCCGTTCGTCTGCGTTCTGTGAGGAGCGGGGAATGCTAAGGGTTTGGGTGAGGGTAACTTAATATGATTATACAGCCTTGAACCAGGGCATGCTTTTATCTGCCTGAAATAATGTTTGTAAACAAACACACGCACTCACACGTAAGCATTTTGACAGACACAAACGTCTAGAGATTCAAATGCACCACGGAATCGACAGATTTCAAGACACATCCACATACATAAACATACACACAAGATAAAAGCATATTTAATGCTTTTCCGCAAGAATGATGAGGAAATGAGTTCGATACTCATCCAAACTTGTTTCTTTGATCCGAATTCAGGAGTTACAACTTTTTTCCGTAATCCTAACCAAATTTGATTTGGGTTTGTCTGAGATTTTGAGATGAGTTGTTGGCAATATTCGATGCTTTTTTTTATCTTAATCATTCTTGTTGTATTCTTCCCTTCAAAATCTTTCGACCTGCACATTCTCCGGCATTCTTCAGATTAAATTTAGTACAATGCAGAGTTTATTGTTGCATAGTTCTGCTTAAATAAGTTGGTCAGCAATCGATTCGAGGCTCTTCTGATGTTCTACTGCTTACTTTAACAATTTTTAAACGTTGTATTTCTTTCTGTATGTCTTTCTATCTCTCTCTCTCTTTACACACACACATATATATATATATATATATATGTAGAGAGAGAGAGAGAAAGAGAGAGAGATGATCTGAAGATTGCTTCCAAGCATGAAACAGATTGTCGCCGCTCGATGTTGATCTCAGTGTCCACTTTTATATTTACATAGGTCTATCCCTGATAATGAGTACTTTTACCCATAAATATAGCACACCTTAAAACAATATTATTGTCAAACACACACACACACACACACACACACACATATATATATATATATATATATATATATATATATATAGTCATCCACAGATAGACTGTTTTGCTGTATCACAGCTCCTCAGTGTGGTTAGACGTCCGATTGCTTCAAGCCGGGATCGAAACCCGACTTATTTGACATGTCAGATATCTTGCCCCGAGAGCATCGTCGCACAGCAGAAAGGAAGGGAATTTTAACGTTTTTTTTTTCTATATGAAATACGCCAACGGCTCGGAGAACTCAATTCATACTTGAACAGTAATGCTTAATAGCAGTAGAAGAAGCTGTTTTTCAAACCCGCTTCCTCTTTACCATTATATTCTGTCTTTGACTCCTCTTCCTGTCATTCCCTCCCGTCGTATTCGACGTATGAGGGTCAAGCAAATCAGTTCCTAGGAACCGACAGCCCAGACACCAGCACATATGATTTGATTACAGTGGTGAAGGCTTTGTGCAGGACCATGCACACTTTTTGAAGGGCCGAATACAGAGACCTGGTGCACTACGTGCCACAAGGTCCCCAAACGACCCTCCACAGGTTTTGAATTGTCCTTCTCCTAGATCAGATGCCATCCAAGGCTATAGAATTCAATCTCTCCTGCTATTTACCTGAAGGGAGAAAAAGAGGATTGATACGTTTCCCAAGGGTAATGAATTCGACTAGAATTCGAACTCGGTTATCCGATTCCTCAATCCGTGCCCCATATATATATATATATATATATATATATATATATATATGATAAAAATATATGAGTGTGTGTGCGCGTGTGCGCGCGCGTGTGTATGTGTGAGAATTTATTGATATCCACAGCATTTACTCATTCTCCTGAAAATGTAAGCTTTTTAGTTCATTGTGCCTTCATAACCCAAAATACATTGTTCGCAACATCGGAAAAGAGGGTTCGATATCCAAGGAGGCTATGAAAAGCATTCAGCTCTACCAACTCACCAATAAAATCTGCCCAAGCTTAAGAATTTATTTTGGATTCCTTTTTAATCAAACCGAAGACTTTTCAGAACTCTTCATATATATATATATATATATATATATATATACTAAAGTCATTGATGTCCCATTTCTTTAGGTTGAAAAAATAGGTTTTTCCCGATTTTAGTTTGATCTGAATATCAAAATTAATTGCCATTTTTATATCTCTATTTTAGTCTTGAAAATAAGGATATATGTTATTCCCAAATTATCTAAGCAAAAGTTCTCTTAATGTTACTGACCAATTTTAAAACATAATAGTGGTTCGAGTTGATGATGCCATCCTTTGTCAGATACAAAGTCCCAATCAAATGAAAATCTTGGGATCCAGCATACTTTAGGAGTATAAACATCCTTACTTTTGACTCAGAATGTCCCAGCAATACCTCACTGTGTCCTGCTGGTTTTCTGTAGCAAAAAGAGTTTTCTAAATTCATGCAGATACAGGCTTATATATAATTCTGGAAAGAATTGATATCGCAACACAAGGTGACATCTTTTTTTGTTTAATTTGGAACAGCACTTAATTCAAGGATAAAAGATATTTATTTTCAGAGTCATTTTTAAAGTCATATTCAGAATGTTCAACTCTTCTTGGTGTTCAGTAATATTTTTTATTACTTCAAACGTTACTTTAAGTGGATACCCGTGTTTGACAAAAACGCCTATTTTTTATTATTTTTTTAAAACACTATTACATTTATCGATCTGCGCACCCGAAAAAAAAATTTAATAAAGAAAATGTGCTCGCCAGCAGAGTACTAACCTGCAATCCCTTTTGCAAGCGAAACCATCGTTTAATCCAGTGTGCTTTAAACCCGCTCGGCAACGGGGGGGGGACTATATTTACCCTTTAGGGAATGCACATTTCCATGTTCAGTTATTCGCGAAAGGCCATATTTGCTCAGTTTCACACACGAAATGTAAACAAAGTAATTTCGTTTGAATAATAAAAATGTCGGATTAAAAATAAATCCATTATTTTTTTTTTTTAAATGTTCAGTAATATATAAATTTATCTCTGTTTATGTTATTTGCCTCTTAAACAGGGACGATGGAACCGAAAAAGAGCTCTTAAGAAGTCTGCGACTAAAACAAAATTGTTGAAAATGGCTGATTATAGAATGAATTGTTTTTCGTTCTACACTTTAATTAGCGAAGATTAGAAAAAATGAATATGGATCAGATAATGTTTTTCATCAAAGAATTTACATGTAACACTCTCTTTTCTCGCCCTTACTTTGAACGCATAACCTTCAGGGCCAATTTTACACAGCAGAATGCACCGTACCAATTTAGAAATGTAATGATGAACTCTAAAATGTACACATACACTGTGAAAGGATCACTTCCCGATTGTATGCAAACTAAGGATAACATTACAGAAAATTAAGAAAACCAATATGCCGACTATAATACAACAAACTGCAGAATGATTCAGTGAGTGAGCAGGCAAATGAGGACGTAGCTAAGAACAAATATAAAACCTTAGGAAAGGCCAGTAGCTCAATATGGAACGCCTTAAGGAAAACATTAGTGTCAATGACAAAACAAGTCATCTCGAGGTAAGACACAGAGAGAGAGAGAGAGAGATGGGGGGAGGGAAAAAGATAAAAGAAGTGGACACCAAATGAAATGAATGAGAGAGTGTAGACAACACCAACGAATATCACAGAATTTAAGATATGAAAAAATAAATGGAAGCCAATAAAATATGACTTAACGAGAAACTTGCAAAGATAAAAAAAATATAACATATATGTTATAACTGATATATCTAACAAGGTCAAATAAATAGAACAGTAAACTTGCTCTTCGACAAGATGCATAACATTTAAAATGGGAATTATCATAATAAATACAGAAAATATATTACAAATGAAATGAATATATCGGAGAAAACATAGGATATAATGGCTAAAACCTGTTAGAATTCGTAATATAAACATCTGAGGCCAAGATGAAATAAAACAGTATTTTATCAGGACCAAATAAGATAACAGAGGTGCTCCTATCCTAGGTTACTGAAATGATACATGAAATATATGACAGCGGTGAAATATCAGAAGAACTAACCTGGCAATGATGTTATAGAAACCAGCTGCAAGTGAATGCGAGCGCTATTGGACAGTTTGATAACTAAACTTATGGATAGGATTATAATGAATATATAAATTGTAGTATAATTAGACTGGAAACAGAGTCAGAAAAGTAGATTTGTTCAAGATATTTAGAGAAGAAATGTTATTTTTATGATAAGAATGAGGAAGATCTATACCTATGTTTCATAGATAATACAAAGTCAATTGATAGTTTATGAAATGAAGATCTATAGAAAAACTTGATTAACATAGGAAAAATATTCGAGTCATCTGTAAGTTCAGTGAATACGCAAAAATCGAAAGTGAATTAAGACAAGCATATGTTTCTTACTATCTTTTTTAGCCTATACAACGAAGTTTATTTGGGGATCCTACTGTAGAGTGAAGGCTAGCACTCGTGGAATGAGGTAGTCCTCATTGGGTAACTCATTCTTGTACCCTGATTAAGTTAAATGTCCTAACTATTGAACTGCGAGCAAGTTTTCAGCGTCACCTTCATTCTTCATATGCAAAAAATGCATTCATATATATATATATATATATATATATATATATATATATATATATATATATATATGGGGTGTATATATATATATTAATAAATATACATATACCTATGTTCGTAGTACAACTTAGTTTCATGGTTTATGCACGCTAACACACCTATATACATTTGCTAATATATAATTATTTGGGTTATATCTACATTTATACCTATATATACATATGTGTGTGTGTTTGCATAAAGTATCCATCTATTTTGAATATTTAATATTTTGAATATTTGAAATAGTTATTTTTAAGTCGTTTTCGTTCTTTTTCTATATTATTTTTTTACACAAAACAATTAAAACAATAGAAATAAATTATTAATAGCAAAAAGCAATCAACAGCATCAAAAGAAAAAGAAGAGTTAAATTCAAAAGAGAATTCAACAATTTTGAACATAAAAAGTTTACATAAAATAAGATTTTTAAATTGCGAATCAAAATAAAGCACTAATCTGTAAACATTTCTATGACTTACTTTTTTATCTATTTATGTATGTATCTATTTCAGTCTGTTTATACCTCTCTCTCTCTTTCTCTCTCTCTCTCTCTCTCTCTCTCTCTCTCGATATATATATATATATATATATATATATATATTGAAGACGAGAGCGACATGCCTGTGCAAATGCTTATTTATAATCTATGCCTCTTGCAAATGTTGGCAATATTGCACTGCGCATGCGTATTAGCTAGCGGATGTTTTTAGCTGGAAACGTCAACATATTGCCACGTGCTTCTATCCAACACGTGGTCATGAGATTTGAAGTGAATGCCCGACGTAAGATAATTTTCTACGGAATTTGATAAGCCTTCTCTTTTATATCATATTGTCTACTTTTCTATTGAAAATAATTAAGTTCTTTTTTAGTTGTTTTCTTTTTTCTTCGTTTATTTTTTATAAAATGTCGAAGAATTTGTGCAAATATCATTTCTATCATAATTTATATCATAAATAAAATTTTTTATCTTAATTCTTCGTTGAATTTTTTTACACGATGGGTTTAATCTTTCTGTGTGAAAGAGTTCGGATTAATTTTCTTATCTTGTAGTTTTGGTTTGTTTGTTTTTTTGTTTTGTTTTGTTTTTGCTTTTATTTTTGCTTAATTATTTATTTATTTCAATGTTTCGACGGCATCCCGAAATAGACAAGACACATAGGAAAGGCGGGAGAGTATAGCTGCCGACGTATTGTGAAAAAAAAACCCAAAAAAAAAAACAACAAAATAAACCAACAAAGACGAGGAAATAGAACAAATCAACCTACATTGAAGTTAAGCATAGTTTAGCATTTGTTTAGTATTAAAAGGCAACGATTTCTTTTCCATTCATTTACCGATTAATTTCATTCCGATATTTTTCATTCATTCACTTGGAATTCCTTTCAGAAAATGTGAAAATAAATTTAATTATATGATACATAAAAAAACCCTCACTCAAACAACCTTCAATAATCTTATCATATAATATACATGAACTTTAAAAAAAAGCTTGCAGCCCCAAATCTTTTGCAGATTTGTAAATGACACCACTGAGCGATAATGTATGTTTTACTTTCATTTTTAAAACAGTTTTCTATCTTATTTCCTGTGTTTTATGCTTGGTTCTAACTTTTTCCTATTTTTGATATCTCAAACCTGAGAAAAATCTATTTTTCTTACTTTAACCAATCAATTGTCACTGGAACTTCCGTCATTCTCAGTTGAACCACAAAACTGCAATGATGTAAATTCACGTCATCCGCAGTTAATGTGTTAATGAACGAAAATATGTAAACCATTCAACGCTGACTCTTATATTTCAAAATGACCAATTACAAATAGAAAATATATAAATGCCTCGATAATTTTATACAAAAGTAAAAGAATTTACAATATATTTTATTTGTTTTAAAATGTTAACGTCACGTGCAGAAGATATGAGATATATATTTGAATGCAAAAGTAGGTTTAACACATTCAAATACATGCAAGACTGGATCAGTAAGACCGTAGCTTGATACAATTATGTGCTGAAGAGTGATATAAAATAGACACTGTATATTATTCGACTTACATGATCGATGAAAAAGCGGAGAGTTAAAGACTATCAACAACGAAGGAGATTATATTGAAAAATAAATTATTTCTTGTATAAAATATATGCTTATTTCATTGTTAGGCTACTGACTTATTGATGCCCTTACGAACATATAATTTTAACAGTTTTACTGAATAAGACCAACAATGATAACGAATGTAAAGACAACAGTAAGGTCAGTAATCATAGAGCTTGGATTGCCTCCCACTTA